TCGCACGGAGTCAGACAGAGGTCATTTTCTGTCTCTTGCGAAGGTTGGGGGCCTAAGGTATCAACCAATCATATGACAGTCGGAGTAATGCCGAACCTGTGCAGGGGGGTGACGTTTGAGAGCGAGCGGCATTCGCATGTCAGAGCGAAATTCGCTTGTGATTTTCCCGCTGTCACTCGCGGTATCATCCCATGTTTGGAGATGGATTGCCTTGGATCTTGCTTCATGCGGCCATCCCTTTCACGACGGTGCTATGACAAGGTTTACTGTACCTGGTTTAAGCCTCTCGGCAGTCTACAGCCTACAGTATGCCCCAAACACAAGCCCATGTAGGTACCTACCTGTTGTACTGACCTGATGGGAACAGCATCTCCATGCCACATGTCCTCTGTCGATGTTTGTACCGCTACTCCAATGTCGTTGGCCTAGTTGAAAGCACGGTTATCCCTCAGGTGTTTGTTTGTTCAACGACCTGCCAAATCGGAGATGCCAGTACGTAAGAACCATCCGTATATGCATCAGTGACATAGTCAACACAAAACTTTGAAGAAGAAGAAAACTATTTGTTTGATCGACAACGGCGCTGAGCATCAACCCTGGGATCAACATGCATACCGTCTTCTGAATGTGGTATTATTACGACACGATGGACTTGTAACACGCACACAAAATCGACAATACGTACCGTGGTTACGAACATACATGTGACACCGTCTTGTATCCCGGTCATTTATGACAGATTTGGTTCTGGCGCCGGCTTATTCACCCGATCTGGATCAGATACAAAGCAAAAAGAGCAACAAGTACCGGCATCTTAATGCAACAGTCCCGCAGCCTCCATGGGGCCATGTCCTGGGGAGTCTTAGCCTTTGGGGTCTCTCCATACACAATCCAACAGCGCATTGACTGGATTGCCAATCCCTCTCTCTAGACTCTAAAACTCTAGGTACTGTACCCGGCTACAACGCTGTCTTTATGGCTGAGTCATGGGTTTTGTGGACTTGATGAATTGATTGACTCGGCGAATCCCTCTCGGCATATCGCCCAACTTACTTTCACGGCATTATCTGACGGGCTAGGGTTTAGCGTCCAGAAAAACAGGAGAAACAAACAAGTGAGAGATCCACCAAGATTGGGATATCTCGGTCCCGCACGGTAGCGTATTGTATTTCGCTACACCCCGAGGGCAAAGCATTTTGCGAACGGACGAATGCGCAACCAAATTACTTCTTTAGCCCTTCCTTCCTTCGCTCGCTCGCTCGCTCGCTCGTTTGCTGACGTGCCTTGTTGGTGCAGTAAGATGCAATATCACACTGACGCGGCCGAGATCACGCCGTAGAGCGGCTTATCCGAACCCCCCCGCCCCCATCATGAGTCTACGGTCACAGGATCCAGGGATCTTGGCCACTGTTTATGGCCCAGTCCATTGCAGTGTTGTTGGGTAGGATATAACGTTACTTGGCATCCCCGAGCGGTGCTACTACAGTATGAATCTCAAGTGTCGTCAGTCAGCCAGACACACCCGTGTAAGTGAACAGAGATCAGCACAGAAAGATAAACAGCACCAAATGGGCGATTTATGCGGCTCGTCCGGGATATATTCCGCTATGCCCTGCGCCGAGAGATATTAGGCGAGCAACAAGGTTTTGGAACTTCTGGGGTCGGGCGGCCGAAACTACGGGCTTCTGTTTGAGAGTCGATGGTCTAGCCCAGCTGTCCAGGCACCACACCTGGGAGATCTGTGGCGCAGGCGCGAGACATTTTGATTGATGCTGGCTCTGTTTTAACAGCTACCGGTGCGCCAGCTATACACTGGCCAGGTATTTAGGTGCCGGGCCCAAAACCTAAACCAACTTAGTGTGTTTCTCGGCATTTCGTGAAAGTCCGTAGATCGGGTAAGGATATCCAAGATGAAAAAGACGACAGCTTTTTGTTCGAAATTGCTTATCCTTCAGGGTATCCATAGAGCCTCGAGTCAAGTGAGTTCATCCTCACAGAACTACGATATCTGGATCGAAACTAAGCCCCGTCTGTGCCGCTCTAATGATGGGGTCAACATCCCCTTATTTGTCTTGGCATAATACTCTGGTCGTCTTGTGTTGGCTGCTGGCTGCTTATCGCCTACGCGGGAAACCATTTCCGTGATGCACTGGTGGTGCTACAATACCTAGCCTTAAGAGAAATGCCTCCATCGTCAACCAACAGACCTCCGTGGTTTGATGGTATACGACTCAGCTCCACCGGTACTTGTGGCACCAAACCCGTTGTCGCTGTGATTCCGACGCCCTATGTTCTAGCCATGGATACGGAGTACGGGTTCAGTTCTGAATGCATACATTGTGTTGGGTCCAGTTCAGGTCACCCAATTATTGAAACCGGTAGTATGGTATGAGACCTGCGAACAGGTATCCCAAATGGTCGCAGGATTGTGGCGAGAGGCACTCAGTTACCAACGAGGACAACTGTCAGAGCGCCAAGAAACCGGGGTCTCAAGATTTCGACCAGTCGGGAGAGCGTCTGTCCGATGAGTGTATTAAACAGGGATAGGGGGTCTCATCGCGGGCAATAGCAGTGACAACGTCGCAATGAAGATTGACATGGGGCTTCTGCCACATGCGGTAATGCAACAGTCTCACATGCCGGTAAGTGAAAGTTCTACGGTTAACTTGTTTATTAATATCTCTTATTACCGGGAATCGCATAAATCCCTGCGATATAGGTTAGGTGACTCTTGGTCATAGGGTGACTTAATATCAGAAGCTTGATATTGAATGCTTGTGTTTATAATAGCTTGTAGTAATGTTTCAATAACCGTGTTATCATACCCTGTAGTGGTTTTTTTCTCTTTCTGTGTTTCTTGAAGTATGCGACTAGTATTGTCACGGTGTGTGTTGTATATTATGTTGTGTGTGGTGTTCAATGGTTTCTGCCACTCATAGTGTCAAGAGTTATAAGTCTGGGTGACACTGAGTAATTTCCAAATAGGTCTAATGAATTCATATAACCCTGGATACGCAGAAGATCACATATAAACAATAGCTCACCATCTCATAACTGTGACACATCCTTGTCCATTTGATAGAAGCACCTGGATCTTGATGCCATGAGTTGGTGTCACGACCTGAGATGACCCAGTTGACAACATGATCGGCGATAGCAAGGGAGTGATAATGCAAGTTCAATATGTAGTAACCGAATAAGACTCGCGTATATCTGAATATACGAGTCGAGCTAAATTGAGCCTTTTCATGAGAGTATCTCGGGTGTATCGCTGTGCTTCCTGTCCATGATGCATACTCGTGACCCATGGCAGAAGCGAGAATACACTATCTCCAGGACTGTTGACATCAAAATTGCCAAAAAGATGACCTTAGCCTACGAAGTGTGTACTGAAAGAACAGTACATGAGTTTTGATCCTGAGAGCTCATGAGTTTCTGGTTGAGCTGATGGTCCTTGGTACCCCAGAGTTCCATCACGAAAGATGGTACAGCCTTCAATTTATTCAGCTTCGATGAGATGAAAACTTGAAAGTGATAGTTGGAGTGCCAAGTAGACATGCATATTGCATCGGGTGCTCTTTTATGAAGAACAATTACTGAGAGAACACAATGGCGTGCTAATCTGTCAAACTCCGAGAGAGCTTCACATAAGGACAATACCGATGGAAGACTGTGTGAGAAATCCAAATTAAACGATTTTTTTTACTCGATGCAAGAAAACTGTCTTAAAGTCTCTCGCACTTATCATGAGAACTGGGTAATAACATGTGAATCTATCGGCCGATTTCTCCATGCCTCAATATAAATCCATCGAAAGGGTCCAGTGACGATCTGAGGGCGCAAAGATAAGTTAATTACAAGAAGGGGCCTATATGAAGCTAAAGCCTGATTTGTGATACTGTTTTGTTATCAAAAGGATCGTGTTTAACCTCCATAACTTCTCAAAAGAAATCGTTGTCTCGAGCGGGAACTTCATCGACATGTGAAGCACGAAGCATTCAGATCAGCAGCAAAGAAATAAGATATCAACCATGCCTTAGAGTTATTCGATATAATAAGACTTGAAGCTTGTATAAAAACCTTCTTTCCGATACTGGCTATATGGTTAAAAGAGGCGACAAGAGATTATACGTATGATGCTTGACTCCGGGGAGCATGTGGAATGAAAATTGGAGATATCGTACGCCATTGTAAGTGCTTCAAAGTTATACTACATGAGTTGTAGTGAAGATAGTCTCAAGGACATTAAATAGTGAGTGTCGTCTGAAGTTCACCATGCAGAACACTCGCATACGGGTGTATGACCCTCCAAGATCCGTGAGCAGAAGAAGGGGAACACAAGAGCGACTTAAACTACCGTTATTAGAGTATCATTCGAGCTCACACATATAATCGGTGTCATTGTATGTAAATGACCGATACTGGCATTCTGTTGTCAAGCCATATCGAGGGTCATCACGGGAGGAGCGCCGGCATTTGTATTCATGTGACGCCGCATGAGCACTAATGAACATTTAATAAGATATGAGATGTAATTGTTCTCATACTCATAGAATGAGAAGTGGACGCGTACCAATGAGTTTGTTAAGCTGTTATAACTTGCGTGTCAAAAGTTACCATGACTAACCTTTTGACGAAACATAACATACACTCCATTAGTGGTGGAATAAAATTGTGTTAGCCTTATTAAGAGTATTCAAAGAGAGTTATGGCATTAAAAATAGAGAAATACGTTGAAAGAATCGATGCCGTTGTTATACAACGGGATTAGAACTGAGGCTATAGCAAACTCCGATATTGTATCTGGTCACGAAAATAAACCGAAAAAGGGACATCCCAATCATGGAAAGATAACGTCATATCTAAGCGGGTGCTCAACGCTGTGCAACTATTGCGGGTGAAATCGCCTCGCACAAGACAAAGTCGTATGATTTTGTTGGTAGGTTCAATAAAGCGAATAATGCGGTTTATTTCACGGTATATTACGTGTCGGATTTCGGGGTTGATACCACATCAAACCCTTCTGTATTAACTAATACCTCATGTTAATTGTGTTGGTTGTGAACTCATGAGGTACATTATAAAAAATGAAATAAATCGTCTTTATCTTTCATTACCCACAGTCATCTATTGCTCGCAAAATGACATCGCAGGTTAACTCTATCTTCCATTCCTTTTCCAACTTCACTCCAAAGGGTCAACGTCTGGCGATAGCAGCGGCAGCCGGGGTAATTATCGGGATCCCGGTCTTCCGTATCGCAGCCGAAGACTACCGTGGATATCTTGCTCTCGGACCCGGAGGTCCACCTCACAACCTCATCGGATGGATTGGTCAAATCCTCCTAAAGCCACTGAAGAGGGAATCTTTTCATACTAGCTGTTATGATGAGAAGGCATGTGAGAAGGCAGGTCCTAATGGACATATCGCTTTCTTGAGCGAGAAAGATGTCCCTGTTCGTAAAGCACCGAGACCGATGATAGGGAAGTGGACGGCTCCGAGTCGACAGCTGACGGATATGGCGAACCACTCTCTTATCGATGTATGTGTATCGACTCAGCAGAGATTCATTCTCTTGACTAACAGTGTCAGCGTTACCAATCATTCCTGTCATCTCTAGCATCATCGTCTTCCTCAAAGCTCAAGATCGCAACATCTCTTGCAGAGCGACGAGGCCCAGCCCTCTTTGTAGTTTCCAACAAGCCTTCCCATCCAGTCGCAAAGCGTACAGGAGGGGAGATCGGGCATATGCATGGGAGCGATGGCTCAATGCATATTAATCTGGCTCCAAAGGATGCGAGGCTTGTTTTAGAGAGAGGCTGGGGTCAGCGTCACCCGCTGAGTGGTACTGTTCTGTATCTTGGTAACGTGATGGTTTACGCGCCGAGGAATGAGGATGAGCTTGAGATTGTGAAGAATATTACGAGAGCGGGTGTGAAGTTCATGCTTGGTGAGGAGTGTTAGGTCAGAGGAGCGGGATTGAGGACATGTAATATCGTGTTCAAAGGATGCAAGGGCAGATTAATTTATGACAACCAGCTCTCTTTCTATTCCAACATGTAATCACATAGTACACAGTCTCTGAAGAGGTAACATGAGGGTACAGCAATATCCCCATACTGGATATTGCGACCTACCGTGATAATATGCTCCTGCCTGAATTCAGAAAGAACTGATAACAACTGCATCAGCCATTAACTGCAACTATGAAGTCTTGCCTACGCGAGTAATACAGATAATGGATACGTGGCAGCTCACAACCCAAAAATGATACAGACAACGAAACAAATACTGTAACAAAAAACAAGATACAGACTTATAAAATTCATAAAAAATGCAAAAAAAGAAACCTAGCAATTGCACGTTTCGATCGTGCGACCTCCGGGTTATGAGCCCGGCTGCGTCTGTTAGTATCATTGGCCAACTGATGCATATTGTAGAGAAACATACCGCGCTTCCACTGCGCCAAATTGCTTTCTTGGTGACAGAGGAGAGTGAATTTATCGTACATATAGCCCATCTTTCCATAGTCATAGGAGCGGGGGCGGGGTAAACTTAGCGCACACGATTTGGAGCACAGTGCCAGAAGAAATAAATAGTTCTATGGGATTAGATATTAACATTAAAGCAAAAACGCAAGATGTTAAATATTTTATTTAATAATATATACTTTTCTGGATTTTATACTATGCTCTTTCCCTGAATGAGGCTTTGTTTTGCCCAGTCAGACAGCCTTCCAATGATAAGAAGACTTTGCAAAACCGCCTGTCACCCAGGAAAGCAGCTTGGCGCAGTGGAAGCGCGGTATGTTTAACAAGCTCCATCGAAATCTACAAAGCTAACTCATCCCAGCCGGGCTCATAACCCGGAGGTCACTGGATCGAAACCAGTAGCTGCTATGGTATTCTTTTTTTTTACTATTGTCTGGAGGAAACCTCTTTTTACCGTTTCTTTGCACTGGAATTGTCTTCCAGGCTGCATGCTTCGCTACTGCTGCACATTCAACATCATCAACAGGCGTTTGCGATGCTTGCCTGCACAGCTTCAAGCACAAGGCCCTTCTTCAAAATTAGCAAGCATGTTCGCTCTATCCGAGATGATCATTTGCCACTGATACGACAGTAGCAAAAGGGATTTGTATATGTTGGAATGCGCCGCTACGATGAACCTCAAGTCTCTGAAAAGGCGCTGATCTTCTTATCAACGCTCCAGCGTTGGGCATTGCCAGTGGAGGCTATGCACTTGGGGTAACAATCAAACTTGCATAAAAAAAATAAGCCAATAACTACAGACTCACTTGCCACAATTTTCCTTTTTTTTGCATAACGTATCTCAAAGCTCGAATTGCGCCGCAATGCTCGTCTATCCGTGACATCTTCACAGCCCATTCTGGAGATGATTGAGCGCTGGATATAAGCCCTAAAGGGAAATTCACCAACCCGCCAGCCTTACAAGGGCGCCTAACAACGTCATAACCAATCGCTAATACCGAGCTAAGACTGCGGCAGTGCCTCAGCGGCGTGGAGATCCGCAGATCTTTTCCGTAAACAGTAGCAATGCAGCGCTCACCTCCAAGGAGAAGGATCACAGCTGCTGAATATATAAGATGAAGCAGTTGCCAAGGTACAGAAATGATATCAATACAAGAGAACAAGACAGTCAAATACAAGGACTTAAATCACGAACACTTTACACAAGCGCATCTTTCATCATTCTATATCAACCAACTTCTCACGTTACACATCTCACAATGGGTCACTCAAACTCAACACTTCAAACTCATCAGCTCTCAGCTGGCGGAATCGAAAAGGGAATCCCACCCGTAATCCGCGTGTCATACGAATCAGGCTGGAGGAAATATGCCTGCTTCGCTCGCATGAAGCTTTTCCTCAGTGGCCCCAACGGCGAGCCTATGTACACACTCAACTTCGTCAAGGGCTTATACGGCGACATCATCCTCCACAGCGGATCATCCATCGACTCACCACCACTGGCTGCTTCTGGTAGGCAGTCAAGCCTTCGCGATGATTATTTGGTCACATTGCCTTCACTTTCCGGCAATGGTCCTCAAGAGGAGATCCTCCGTCGTCCCAAAGGACTGAAGGGACGCTTCTGGTTTGCTATTCAAGTTGGACATGGCCCAGACCAACACGTAGAGCGTTTCGAATGGCGACGCTCTCGAGGCGCTGAAGTCAAGAGCGTTGGCCAATCACGCTGGGGCGGATACAAGCTCGTCCGTCTCGGCAGCACAAACACCAAAGAGGAGTACTCCTCCAGTGAAGAAGATCTTCACGATGGTAGCACCAATGGAGAGGGCTACACCAGCGACGGCAAGGAGGTCGTTGCTGTTTGGGGAAGCACAAACTGTCTCAAGAGTTTGTCAGGTGTTGGAGAGTTTCAGTTCCGAGGAAGCGGTGCTACAGGCGAGTTGGGCCAGTTGTGGGCGTTGATGGCTGTCATGAGCTGCATGTCGATCTGGCAGAAGGTCCAGAGAGATAATGCTACTGCTGGTGCATCTTCTTCGTCGGCTGCTTCGGCTTCTGTAGCAGCATCTGCTTAGTTCATGCCTCTGCTTGTATTATTTGTATTATACCTCATTAGCGAGTGTTTCTTTGGTTCAGAGAGGTCTTATGATATCCATGTTGCAATAGTGTCTTTTCCACGATAGAAATTAAAGTATCTGATAATTATTTCACAAGCAGTGTTTTATTAGGAGACTATTTAATAAAGTGAATTTGGTAATGTGCTTTTAATGGTCGAAGGGATTGAGCATTTGAGTCTAAGCTGTACATACGGCTCAACCTGCCCCACCACAAACCCACCATAAAAATCTCGCCTCACGATAGCTTCATCATCCACATAATTCAGCAAAAAACATACAACAGCGGGGATTCGCTGGTCGTCACCGACCCAACTACTAATCCGCCCCTTACCAGCTTGACTATGGGAGAGCGGACGGGATCCCGTATTTTCTGGTAGGTATGGTCGTATGTACTGCCTGGGCAACCAAATGCAGATTATATCTGGACCTTGTTCAAGTCTCACTGGTGCTTCGCCCTCTCAACTAGACGCTCAGCACACATGCCGATTTGTTGTTGACCCTCATTGGAACTCAGATAGGCCTCGGCCAGACGTTCAATCTCATCCGTGCGTTCCACAGCGGCGAGGTCAATGGCTCCAAGCTCAAGTGTCCCGTTGAGTCGAAAGTACCCTTCCTTTCTGATATCTGCAAATCGCAGGTCTTCCAGAACAGCTTTGTGATGCTTCTCTGTGCTTGTGGCCATGTTGATCATGTAGTTCATGAGACCCGTAAGTCCTGCGCTTGCGTCTGAGGCTTGGTATGCACCAGTACCAACACTAATCACGGTGGAGATCTTATCATCCGGGAACTCTTGCTTGGCTTCTTCGATAACTTCAATCACAGGGTTGTTACTCTCAAGTCCACCATCGAAGTAAGAAACGCCACCTGCTTCTATGTGTGGGAAATACATTGGCGCTGCTGAGGTTGCTCGTGCAGCTTCCCAGATCTTGAACCTTTCAGCTGGAGCATTTGTTTGTTGGTCGAGGGGTTCATATGATCGAATTCGTTTCACCTTTTCCTCGTACTTAGGCACGGCGCAGACGAAAGAGTACGTGGCAGACTTCATGTCAGTGATGAGAGTTAGGTCCTCCACTGTACAGCCACTTTGCCTCAGCATAGCCGAGTCACTGGGAAGAAGGTTCTCTTTGACGGTACGACAAACGGCTTCTTTGAGTTTATCGCCATCAAACCATGGCCAGCTTAGAGCAACATTACTGGCCTTGCGGAAGTTCTCCAGGAAGGGCACCTTGAACTTCCTAGAAAACACTTCCTTGGACAGAGACTTGTAAGCTTGAATACAGAGCTGAGTGTCCATCTGAAGCCGACCGAGCATGATTGCTAGCAAACCTCCTGTGCTTGTGCCGCCAATGAGGTCGAAATAGTCGCAGGGCTTTTTATGTTCTGCACCAGGGCCTTCAAGGCGTCGTGTCTCCTGCATCAGCCGATCAATGATGATGATGCTAAATAATCCCTTGACACCACCTCCATCAAGTGACAAAAGACATAGACCTCGAGGTTCAGGAGCGCTCGACCTATGTAGTCGAGTTTCGACGTCCATAGCTCGAATCATGAACGAATCGAGAGCGTCGAGGACACGAGCGAGGTTTTCATCTCGTGGACTTTTGAAGCAAACGAGGGACTGGTGGTCGAGATCCAAGGGCATGGTAGGAACAGGACGGGCGACCAGAGTTGACTCTTCCTGAGTAATAAGAACACGTCTCTGGGCTTATGTTAGCTTTAGATCTGGAACATGAGTGATAAGATTTACTGACACTTAGTCCGCCGGGCCCCTTGGTTTCATAGAAGCAATTGATGAGGAGGTTCTCTCCACCGAGACGACGAAAGGCATGATTAACACGAAAGGTGGCATACATTGCCTTTTCCAACTCATGAGAGTGACCGCCCAATGTACCTGAAGCTCCGCGACTCAAAGCTCTCCAAAACTCTGGGACTTCAAGCTTAGCCCTACTCATATCTCTGTCTTTATGGATTGTCCCAAAGAACACATAGCCACGAATCTGGGTATGAAGGGCTTTGTAGTCTGGGTCATCTGTGTTGGAAGGGTGTGTAGCAACATACACCTGCTTGAGAACAGTGCCACCAAAACTATGGCCGAGGAAGATAATCGGTGACTTTGAGCGGTTCTCTTGACGGCGGTCTCTGAGGATATCCTGAATCAGACCGTTTATGTCAGGAGGGTGTGCTGACAAAGTAGAGAGCATATCTGGATAGTTGAGAGAGAGGATTCTGCATGATGGGAACTTGGGTACGAGAGTGTGTTTGAGCCAGCAGTATCCGAACGAGCTCCAGGTACGATTCCAATCGCCTCCCAGACCATGAAGAGCGATTATACTAAGAACAATTTGTTAGCATGTGGTTTGATGACATCGAGTGCGGCTTACTCTGCAGATGCTTGACCCGTTGCGTTGTTCCCGCTTGTAAGAGAATGGATCGTCCGACCATTATACGATGCCATTTTGAGTTGGCAACGCAATCTTGCGATTGATAGACAATACTGCACCTGGTAAAAGCCTAAATCAAAGGGCACTGCAGTACCAAATTAAAGTCCGATTTAAGTCTTGCATGCTCTCGTGCCAAGTTCCTATTTTTGGCTGTTGGCCCTTTATGAGGGCCAGCATTCAGCTATGGCTTCGAAGATGCTAGCGACATGCATATGTAGTGGCATTTCAAAGACAAAGATCTCGCTGAAAAGCAGGCTGGGGCTTCGAAGACCTCGTGAGACTGATAGACCAATCCAAGCCTAGTTTCATCAGATAGAGACATGGCTGTTGTGCAAGCACCCATGCAAGGTACAGGATGCTACTTTTCCAATAGGGTATCATTTGTGCCGATCAGGCAGACATACTTGAAAACAAACACAAATGTTAAGACAGCTTTCAGTTTCACTCGAACCCCTCACGAGAAGTGCAATTGATAAGAGTTTAGAATCAGGCCATTGTCTTACTCACCCACAATGGCCATAACCTCAGCTGTTGCACCAGAAATAGCCCTTATCCCACTCGTAGCCTGCTCAATGAGCTTCTGATCAATGGCCTTCAACTTCGCCTTTGCAGGAAATTCCAGAATATTCTGCAAGATCCCATTCAATCTTGCCGCCATCCCGCGCCTAGTCTTCTCATATTGACATTCCTGCAGTTCCTGTGATATCTCAAAGATGTTGAGCCTCGCCTTCTCCAGTGCCATCTGCACTTCGCAAAGGGTCTTGAACGCTCTGCTTGATTCTTGACGAATAGTCAAGTTTGCGCTTTGGATCTGCTTGATTTGATCCATGTAATAGGCGCAACTGTCATGGTGACG